CAGGTTTCAGATTTTCAAATAGTTGTATCTCAGCCAAATATTGTCCTATTCTAACAAACCATACATCAGTGGAAAGCTTATTTATACAGCTTTCAGAAAAAAATGACCCTTATGACTGGTTTTGTGGTCCAGGGTCACGTATGAGATATTTCCTTACTACAAACAAACAGATGTTTCTTAGAAAAGGTGAGTCGACTCTTGTGACTAACAAGTAGGAGGATCGATTCTCCTGTTCTCACGCAAACCTTTTCTGAGTAGGGCTAACTTACAGACTTGTCATTCTATTATATTTTATTTCACGGTTAGCATCCCCGAAATTGTTAGTTTGATGAAGGTATTTTTGGAGTGATGGTATTTTGAAAACAGTTTAATCATATCCACTTACATGAAATGACTCCAGTCATACCAGGAGACAAATAAACGCTGAATTATTTTACAGAGAGATGGGCTGCTCAAATGCGTTGTGGGGGGCCTCTGTGTTGATATGACATGACTAGAATAATACTCATCTTTAACTAAAAATAATACATTTTGGCAGCCAGCTTGCGTGTGATAGCCCTATGCTATCAGAGTAACTGAAAACAACTGAAAACAATTGTGGAGTCGACACCAAAATACTCTCTATAAATAGTAGTAGCCTAACTGTGTATCAGAATCGACTCTACTATAAAACTTGGTTCTTTTTTGCTAGTGACTCATTCTTATATTCTTATATAGGACGTTGTGATTGGCTAAAATTGTGAATTAGCTTCCAATAACCAATCACATAGGCCCTACCTTAGATAGCAATCCTATGGGTGGGACACTCTGTTTTGCCCTAAAGTAAAATGTCATTGGCAGTGCGTGTTGGTGTTTTTTACTCGCTGTTTCTCCGTTATGCTGTTGGCGGATTGTTGCCTAGCCTAGTTATGTAGTTTTTGTATTGGACTATGAATTTTTTTTCTTCCGACCCAGCCTGTTTCTTTTGACAAATTCCAATAGTGCATCGTTAATGCTGTAACGATTCAAATCAGCACAGCATACACAATTTGTAATGGTCTTTAATATTTTCCTATGAGCCTTTATGGACCTTCAATATTTATGTTTTATGTTAATAGTGCAGTTGTTATGGATGCAATTTGGCAGAACAAATTTACACCACTGTATGCCGTCTGCAGGCTTGTAAACAGTGCTTACGTATTAAAGCACACAGTACCTGCATACAATTGAATGGCTTTATACAGTAACTACATAAATTATTCAGGGGAGCTATTGGCTGTTTCAGAGGACAACACACATTACAACATTTTCCTGGCTGTGAGGTTTTCCTCATTAATGCTAAAACAGGATGCAGCATATGGCAGATGAATTCTCCCCTCGTCTGACCTGAAGATAAATCTACAGTTACTTTGTCTTCCTAACCATGTGACATATTCAAGTTCACATACACCATTTCCCACAACATTACTGGTAAACTTTGCTACATACATTACCTGCAGGTTATGCTTGATTGTTCTCACATTTAACAAGGAAAAGAAAAGGTGAGTTAGAAACTAGTGGGCCTAAAATGAAGTCAGTTACTATCACCAGACCATTTTATGAAAGAAGGTCAATCAGCAAATGTTAACAAATAAAAGACATGCCATTTTGAACAGTTATCTACTAAAGGTATAAAAGTAGTAACAATAAAATACTATGTGTTTTATGGCATAATTTGACCATAGGAAGAGTACTTAGTCTGAATTTGACCAAAGGAACGATTCTGTTATATTGTGTTCAGGTTGATTCCACCATTTAGGTTAGGTGTGGTTTTGTATATATAACATAAAATATCATAGAAGACCCTATTTAAATTTGCAGGCCCACACTTTTTTTTCGCAGTGCAAATGGCACATCCTGCCTGAAATCAATGGCATATGGCATAGTGCTTTGCCTTTTTGTAGTGTTCTCAGCCTTTTAACATGGTCTGTGACAACAGCACATGACTTGCTGAGCTGTGTTATGTTATGATTTGCAATGTGACACTACATTCATTTTCAAACCCACTTACATTAGAAAAGAAAGGATTAAAAAGTAAATTAAAAACAGCAAATCTCGGAAGGCACTTGAAAGATGTACAAGATGGCCTACTGCTGTTGTAACAAACGACACATATTGTTTAGCCAGCAATACTGTTGTCTTGGAATAATTGCCTTGTTGTTATTCGTCATGAGCCATGCAGCAGGTTCACCTGCAGCTGACAGGTGAGTAATTACAGCTGAATGACTGTCTTACTATCTTACTCTGTGATGATGTCCACACAGGAGACAAAGAAAGAGCACTGAGAACTGGTTATTTGACCAGTTATTATAAGTAATACTTGGGAACAGGTTATCTGTGAACGTAATAGAGGTAAACACCCACTGGTGTGTTCTGTCAGAACAGATGTTTTGTTGAATCTGCCCTACACAGTTTGACTCGTTAAGTAAAAAAAATGTAAAAAAATATTTTTATTCAGCAAGGATGCACTGGATTCATCAAAAGTGACAGTAAAGACATTTTTGTAAAGTTACAAAAGATTTCTATTTTAAATAAATACTGTTCTTTTGAACTTTCTATATAAAATGGATCACAGTTTCCACAAAAATATTAAGCAGTACAGTTTTCAACATTGAAAATAATGGGAAACGTTTCTCAAACATGAAGTAATGATTTCTGAAGGATCAAGTGACACTGAAGACACGAATAAATACATTTTTAAAAAAAGTAATAATATTTCACTTTTTTATGAAATGAAATATACGATTTTTAACTGTATTTTTGATCAAATAAATACAGTCTTGGTGACTTTATATATATATATATATATATAAACATTTTTTAAAATCTTACCAACCCCAAACTTTAAATGGTATTTTACTACACTGAAGACTCAAATTAACTTGATTATTGGGCTTAATTAACCAGCAGTACACCAAGAGTATCTTAAGGGCACTTAAGAGGATAAAACAAAAATTATAAATGATAACGACATTAGAAAAAGGCATGATAAAATGCAATCAAACAAATACGTTTCCCAGAGAAAACAAGATCTTTTACTGAATCGCAGATATACCAAAATATGTTGTATGCAAATACAAAAAGATCAAATGATTCAAGAACAATAAGTTAAAGAATAAAGTAAAAAATGTGGTGAAAGTAAAAACCTGAGAGTGAGAGGAAAATGGAAAACCAAAGTCAGAAACAAAGAAAGAAAGGGCAAGAGCAAGTCCTGTTCTCCTGTACTCTGTTTACTCTCTCTTTGTGAATCTCAAGACACAATAAAGACGAGGACATCCCCCAGAATGAGCAAACAGTGCTGTGAATAGATGAGTTTGAAATACAAAACGAGCTGTGGCAGCCAAACAACTTCCTGTTCTCATTCAGATCAGTGATGGACCGGCCCCTAATAGAGCCTGTCTGCCAGGGGCCACTGCACACTGTTAGGATTCATTAGTCTGCTCATCATACATTTTGACTCCAGCTAGGGACAGGACATGCCCGTGATGACTGTTCAATCAAGCATAACTAATCCTGTGTATCTCTAGTCTATTTATTAGAGATGTTTACTAAGGCAAGCATTCTATTGCAATTGCACATTCTTAAGATACGGATTTGAACAATGCCCTAACACAGTGCTTCTCAAAAAGGTGGTCACAGGATGACCTAAAATTATTTATAAAATTAAAACATACTAAAGGTGCAAAAAACACAAGATGATTAAAAAACAACTTTTAAGCTAATATTTTCCTCCTTAATAGCTTTTTTTTAAAACTAAAAACACAGGATCTTGAGTATAATGGCAATGAGTTTTCTGAAAAAGCACAAATCACACATGTAGTATTATTTTAAAAGGCATACAATCTGTGACTAATGATCAGAAAAGTTATGTAAGTATGTGCTTTGTAAGGTTGACTGACTACCAGATGGTGTCATTATAACCTGTTTATGTATCTGAGTCAGTTCCTCAATTATACTGTGATTACTGGCCATTAGCTGAGGAAGGTCATAGTCTAATCAGAGGGGTTGTGAACTTTTTTTAAATAAAAAAAGAGAAAAAAATAAGAGGTGTTAAAAAATAACGTTACATAGTCACGTTATTTACATCATTAGCTGCAGGCAAAAAAAGTTGCTTTTGAAACATGTTTTCAGAACTTTTAGTTGGTTCCAAAAGGTTAATGTATAAGTCATTGTGAACGTCTGTACTGCGTTGATATTTTCATGTTCTTACTGACCAGAAGAGGGCGGTAGAGAGCTGTTATGGAAGAGCAACCTGTTTCTAAAATTATGGACTAAAATAAGAATACTTTGCCATAGCCTATGAAAGAAACTGTTTAGATCACCAAAGCACTCTCTCTCTCTGTGTGTGAGTTTGTGAGGAGTGGGTTCAGAATCTCAGGAATCTTGGATCTTCACTATAGTCCCCATGTCAGCCTCACCCTGATGAGTGAAGGTTTTGCCAAGAATCTCTGCACAGCAGGCTGAGATGCTCCTCTCACATCAGGAGGTTACTTTGTTTTGTGTTGCCACAATACAGACCAGATCTCAAGACAACAGCCAAAGGATTTATAATGGGGCTCAGGGCCTCTCCTCCACAGCTCAGCTGTGTAATAGACATGCATAATCACACAAATGCAGTCCTCTCTCAACATTGGGGGAGGCTTCTTGCTCTTCTAGAAGAGCTATATCAGTTTGGTTTCTCTAGCTAAAGGCACATCAGGATCAGGATCTAGTCTTAAACAGTGGTTCTTCTCAACCTTTTGAATGCAAGACCCTCCCCCTATCTAAACTTAGAATTGCCTCTGGTACTTTTGGTGTAAAAAACAAACAAACATATGTCAGTTTAATGTTTTATATCTTTATTTTTACTGTTTTTAGCACTTTAAGACTGTAGAAAGAAAATGTTAATAATTTTCAGACTTATTTGGTCCCCCAGTAGTTTGCGGAGGCCCCCTGGTTGAGAAAAACTGGACTATAGAAATGACAAAATACTTGGTGCCAGAATCTAATTTTTAATGCATGTTATTGACATTTCTGATGGTGGATTACTGCAGGTACATTTTAAATTCTAATAAGAAATAAAAAAGCAAGTAATAGAAAACAGACAGAGCCTCATGGGGTTAACTGTGGAGTTTATTCTTTTTTTTTATGTAGATGTGTACAGAGAGGTAGGTTCTTTTTTTAACCTTAAAAAATGCACTAATGACGAATAATAGAGCTTTTGTTCCATTAAACAACATTTAAGCACCGGACACAAAGAGTTCACGTCAACATACAGTGCAAATCATCACAGTGTTCTCATAGGGTCAGTAATATACAAGGTTTGCATAAGGAAAAAGGACGTATTTCTTTTCCAACTTTTGAAACAACAGGCACAAAGATGCTTTCACATTTGTGCAGGTACAGGGCAGCATCCCACGAGTAGCATAAAGGTACAGTGAAACCAATTCTAAATGTTTTTATAATACAGTAGGCTCATATGGTTTAATCCATAACACTGTTTTGCGCTTCAGAAATTAGTGAAAAATCCTGGAAACATAAATGTGTCAATATAATGTAACGGGTCTACAGATTGGTGCAGCTAGTTGCTGTACATTTTCATGGCGCTGTCTGGAATAATGCTAAAAGATTAAATGAGCATTTACAGAAGTGAAAGCAGCTTCATATGAATAGATACAAATAACATTAAATCTGCTTGTTCATCAAGTTAAAAAAAATTGGCTGTAACTATGTTTTCATATAAAAAAAATGTCCCCCATACATACTTCCCTTAATATGTATTGTCTGAATTGTCTTCAGATCTGTCAGTCATTCCGGACAGCTAAATATCAAATGGAGTTTTTGCATCATTTAAAGGCTTTTTATGTCATTGGATTTAGTGGAACTGCACAATTTAAATATTTAACAGTAAATGAAAAAGAACAGAAAGAAAAAGAAAATGCAGTTGACGAACATTGTATTTTGCGCAGATATGCAGTGCTATACAGTATCAATAGGGTTGAACACACAAAAGATTACTTGTACAAAAATATAGCAATATAGCAAAAATATATAATGGGAAAAGGCATTGGGATTGGGCTCATTGTTACATGAAATTGTGGCAAAGAGTTCATAACTGAGAGCACAAATGTATCATTCCATCTTTCTTTATAACTCCTTTCCAATTTCCAGTAGCGTTTTCATAGAGAGAATTTGGAGATGATGGCGTCCTGACTGCTGGAGCGTTTGTAGCCGGATGAAGAACTGAAGTAGGTCTCGCCATCAGTGCTGATATCATCATCATCATCATCGTCATCATCATCAGCATTCAGGACTGGTGCTGAGTTGTTCTTGCGCCTTTTGGATTAACAACAAAATGCCCATTTTTAGTTGGACTAAGGAATGCAAGTATAATTGTTTTTATATTAAACAAGCCTGTCCATTGTGTAAATGTATAAAATATGTTCAAGAGCTGATTTTCAATTAGTAATAATATACACTACTGGTCAAAAGTTTTAATGTTTTTGAAAGAAGACAAAAATATTAAGCAGAAATACTACTACTACTACTTCAACACTAAAGAAAAATGAAAAATTCAGCTTTTACACAGGATCACTGGAATAAATTACATTTCAAAACAATTGAAAACATTTAAAATTGTAATGATACTTTTTTTAAAAATATTTTTGATCAAATAAATGCAGCATTGGTGAGCATAAGAGACTTCTTTCAAAAACATGAATTTTTCCAAACTTTTGACCAGCAGCATAAATAACGTATCACTGAATGCATGTACATGTACTTAACAACTCTGATTTAAACAATTATTAGCCGTTTTAAAATTGTAATGCTTTAGTCTGACTGAAATTGTACCAGTTTGAATTTTGTGAAGTCTGACTAACAGACCTAGATACAGTAATACAACAGTAGCTCAGATTCGTCTAGCATGTATACATACTAATCAGACTACAATTGGCTTCTGAATTGTGTCTTTATTATGAAAGGTGATGTGCAACGTGTATTTAATCCTTAAAATATTGAATGACACATTGTGTCATGTATACACTCTTAAAAATAAAGGTGCTTCACGATGCCATAGAAGAACCTTTTTGTCTAAATGGTTCCATAAAGAACCTTTAACATCTGAAGAACCTTTCTGTTTCACAAAAGATTCTTTGTGGCGAAAGAAGGTTCTTCAGATTATAAAAAGGTAAGAAAGAGATGGTTCTTTAAAGAACCTTTGACTGAATGGTTCTTTGTGGAACCAAAAATGGTTCTTCTATGGCATTGCTTGAAGAACCTTTTCAAGCACTTTTATTTTTAAGAGTGTACTTGGACAGAGAGATGAACAGTGTAGCTCGATTTGAACTGCACATACTGCGAGACATCATTCCATCAGTGGTAATGAAATATTTTAGCTGACATCACGTGCTCAGAGTTGAACCCGGATCAGCAGTAATGTATTTATCTCAGTAGCGTTCGAATGGTTACCTCATCTCACTGCGCAGTGCTTTGAGCTGACTCTGGAGTTGTTCATTGGCCTCCTGCTGCTCCTCCAGGTCTCTCTGCAGTTTCTTCTTGTTGTGTTCCAGTCGGTCGATCTCCTCCTCCGCCTCATCCATCTGCCTCTTCAGAGCCTTCAGACGCAGGTTCAGCTACACACACACACACACAGCACCACATCAGATAAGAACAATACGGACTACACATTCATCACAACTCAAAACTGTTGCACAGTATTGCAACATACCTATAAGGACCCATTAAATATCATTTCCAAATGTTCGTTTTCTTCTCAGAGGAGGATGTTTACAGACCTGATCTTTCTGATCCTGCAGTGAATGATGCTCTTCATCCACTTGCATCATCGTTTCCTTCACTTTGCGCTCTAGTCGACGATTCGCCAGCTGCAGGTTACCTCGTTCCCTGTTAAATATTTAATTAAGTGACTCTTTTTTTAAACTTAACATCAGACATGATGTCTAGGACACACTAAATGCATTAGTTTTCTCATTTACCTCTCCTCTGCTTCCAGTCTTTCCTCTAGTTCCTGGATGCGGTTCTCCAGCTGGGCTACCAATCCCTCTTTACTAGGCTTGTGAGATCCCTCCAGATATGTAATCCTGCTCTTCAGATCCTTATTCTTGACACAGAAAAGGAATGTATAATTATATGTAAAGGAAGTTACAGGTGAAGAGTTTTGCTAGTTTGAGAGGTCAGGAGCTATAGGAGCAGATGATGGTTGGTTTAAGGCATCGATCAGAGTCAGAAGGGTTTGTTTTTACCTGTCTCTCCAGGGAGATCTTGTCACACTCCACATCCTGTCTGCTGGCTCTTTCCTGCATCAGCTCATTCCTCATCTGCTCCAACTGTCACACAAACACAGCGACACAAACATTAGTGGCAAACCTCACTTACGCAACACACCAACAATAACAAAACACTCCTTCCTAACTAAAAACATGCCAGTATATGAAAAACCTCTCGGTCTTGTCTGCCATTTACACCTTGCTTTACACCATTGCTAAAAGGAGCCCTAAAAGGCTATAATATCATTATTCACTTGATGATAATTTTTTATATTTGTGACCCTGGAGCACAAAACCAGTCTTAAGTTGCTGGGGTATATCTGTAGCAATAGCCAAAAATATATTGTATGGGTCAAAATTATAGATTTTTCTTTTATGCTAAAAATCATTAGGATATTAAGTAAAGATCATGTTCCATGAAGATATTTTGTAAATTTCCGACTGTAAATATATTAAAACTTAATTTTTGATTAGTAATATGCATTGCTAAGAACTTCATTTGGACAACTTTAAAGGCGATTTTCTCAATAATTAGATTTTTTTTGCGCCCTCAGATTCCAGATTTTCAAATAGCTTTAGCCAAATATTGTCCTATCCTAACAAACCATGCATAACTTTAAAAAAATAAATAAATGGTGATAAACTATGGTTCATATGTTTAGGGGAACTTTTTCTAATATTTCTATTTGACTATCGACTGCATTTCTTTGATCAAAAATACTGTGTAATAATATTTTACAATAATACTTTTTAAATAAAATAACCATTTTTTGAAATGCAATTTATTCCTCCGATGGAAAAGATGAATTTTCAGCAGCCATTACTCCAGTCTTCAGTGTCACATGATCCTTCAAAAATCATTCTAATACCGATGTGGTGCTCAAACATTTCTTCTACTTATAATCATCAGCATTATCATTATTATTATTGTTATGTTAAAAGCAGCTCCTTAATATTTTTTGTGGAAAGCGTATGCACTTTCCTCAGGATTATTTGATTAATAATAATAAAAATTTACTTTAAATAAAATATTTTGTAACATAAACGTCTTTACTGCCCCTTTTGGTCAATTTAATGAATCCTTGCTGAATAAAATAATTAATTTCTTAAAAAAAAAAAAACCTTGGTGTAGTACAGTAGTGTATGTAGTTTTACATATTTATGTAGTTTGTAGTAGTTTTTTCGTATGTAGTTTTTTTTGCTTGAATTGAATAGCTGATGTATAATACTTGGAGCAATAACATCAATATGCAGATATTTACTCTCTTTTTTTTCATTAGCCAAATGAATCGTTCAGATTTCTCTATAATTTCTCCAAAACATTTAGATAGAACCTTCCTGTAATTCTCCAAACCAAAATATTTCTCATGGACAACAGTCACTCAAAGCATGAAATCCATAAAAAAATGTTGACAATGTAGAGAGAACTTGCCTTAAGACAGTGGCAGTGAAGACAGATATGGAATAAGGGATAGAAATTGAAAAGGAGAAATAGCGATCGATAGAGAGAAGACTGCTCTTTTTGTCTGCTGCCAGGCGCTAAGAGTGGATGATATTTTATGCCAATTAGCGTGTGACAGCGGGGCTCAGGGATGAGGGATGGGCCGTGTGTGCCGCTCTACCCTGCAGGGCGCTGCGTCAGCAGAGCAGAAAACACACTGAAACTAATCAAAGCACGAGAGCGATACAGACACGGAGAGAAAGAGAGAGCCAGAGAGCATGTGAGCAAAGAGCGGGAGATTACTCTCATTTAGACAGCCGCTCGTGCACCTGCTGCCATGGACGCAGGTGTGCCCATCCTGACACCACCCCGTCTCCACAGAGCCCTCTACTGTTTCCACACAAACTCACCTCGGCCTTATAGTGTAACACTATTGTGTCATTATATTCGCCTCGATTCTCTATTTCCAGACAATTAAAAAAAGCTCACGCGCTCCACTCCTTCATAATCTATTAATCACATCTTCAGCCCTGATCTAGATTTGTCGCTTTTTAAAGGGGTCTAAATGTGGCGCGACAGGTGCAATCAGACCAATGCGCCAGATTAGCTTTTGCAAACAATAAACGAGGTGGGGGGGTTTGGGCTACTTGTGAAGAAAGTTTTAAAAGGTCCAAGTTCAAGAAGTCATAGGACTAACCAAATGATGCATGATCCTAAAATGGCTTGCTTCAAAAAAATAAACTGCACATATAAGTTTGTCTTGCTTCCATAAAAAGCAAAGATCCAACACTTCAAGTCTGAGCTTGAAGAAACCAGACCTTGTTTCTCAGGAAACATGTATCATCTGTGCCTGAGTTTGCAACATGTTTCCTTTACTGTGATTATTTTGCTTACTTTAGAGTCAGCTTTGCCACTGGCCGGCTTGAGATGCCTGGCCGCTTGCATATTTTGGCTGAAGTGGAGCTTTAGAGAAAGCTCTTAATTGATGCCTGAAATTCGGACAGGCACTCTTTCACCAAGAGGCAGGCTGCCAAAGATAACGATTACGCAAACTCCTCTTACAATGCACTCCATCTCACATTCCATCTTTCTCTTGTTCTGGTGTGAATTAACTCTGAATCTGGAGTGCAACTTTAAAAGGAAGAACCCAACAGCGGATCAAGCATTCAAGTTCAATTCCGTCACTTGTATTTCACCAGGAATGAAAAAGTGTGTGTGGCTTAACAATATACTCATGGAGAAAGACTAAAAATACTAAATTTTGAGCGGCAGAGACATGATTTGAAAATTGTAAAATGTAAATTATATGTAAATTAATACAGACGCCAGTCAAATCAAAAGGGCTTACGATTAAATGTTTTACATTAGTTTGTATGAATTTTATTATAAACTAATATTTTAACCATTTAAATGGGCAAGTTGGGCGAGATAATGAGGAAAAGGTACATATACATGAAAACTTCATCAATACTATTTAAAAAGCATCCCAGGAAGCACCTCTTGAAAAGAGACATCTGGGATATGCCCGGTCTAAAAAAATCTAAAATTTAAGATAGAATTGTTCACTGCAAAATTCTCATATATGTTAATGATTTAACTATTGATTACGGTAAAAAAATGAATAACAATGTGTGTCAAGAGGATCTCACTTGTTCTCTTCCTCTGTCTATTCTCTCCAACAGCAAGTCTCCATTCTGTCTCTCCTCCTCCAGCTCCATCTGCAGCGCAGCCAGACGGTCCTGTTGACAGATGAACGCACTTTGTACATTAGAACAAATTTACATTATAACAGTCAATATTTCAAGAAACATTTGATGACGTAAAAAGAAGACATTTCTCTATTAGTGCTGCACCTCCAAGAGTTTGACTTGTCTGGTTTTGTCGTTTGAATGGGCTTTGGTCTCGGTCTCGACCTCTAGATCAAAAACCTTCTGCTCCAGGTCCTTCACTCTCTGCAGCGCTTCATCTCTGTCTTTCCGACACTGCCGCAGATCCTCATGCACACGAGCCAGCTGAAACACACAAACACAGTCACATTTTAGTCTGAGAACTCTTTTACATCCAGACGGATGGCTGGGAACAGGCCTAAGATTAAATATTTTTCAAATTTTCAGCACTGATTTTAGGAGAAAACCTTCAGGATTTTGATTTGGTAAAAATGGGTAAAACAGATCAGACAGTATTTTACTCTTATTGGTATCTGAAAGCATAATTAAATGAACCAATAAACATACAGAAGTGGTGAAAAGATTAATATTCTAAAGATTGTTTGTTTAAAGATTTTTGAAAGCAGTCTCTTATGCTCACCAAGGCAACATTTATTTGATTAAAAAAATGCAGTAAAAACAGTACTATTATGAAATATTATTACAATTTAAAGTAACTATTTTCTATATGGGTATATTTTAAAATGTAATTTATTGCTGTGATGGTAAAGCTGAATTTTCAGCAGCCATTACTCCCGTCTTCAGTGTCACATGATCCTTCAGAAATCATTCTAATATGATGATTTGCTGCTCAAGAAACAATGCTGAAAACAATTGTGCTGCTTAATATTTTTTAAGCAACACAAATAACTTTTGGATGTTTTGGAGTAAGTGATGAGGGATTTATAGTATAATACTTCATATATCCTGCAACCCTAGAGGAAAAGCGGTGTGATATATGAATATTTTCAACATTTTATATATAAATTTAAAACATCTGCAATTGAATTTTGTCCTTTAAACATCATTACCATTTAATTTGTACCATGATATTCATGCTGTGCTACATGTGTGTTGCTTAATATTTTTTAAGCAACACAAATAACTTTTGGATGTTTTGGAGTAAGTGATGAGGGATTTATAGTATAATACTTTATATATCCTGCAACCCTAGAGGAAAAGCGGTGTGATATATGAATATTTTCAATTTTATATATAATTTAAAACATCTGCAATTGAATTTTGTCCTTTAAACATCATTACCATTTAATTTGTACCATGATATTCATGCTGTGCTACATGTGTGAAATTAAGCTCTCTCCTGAACATGATTTGTACATTTTGTTGTCTAGTTCCTGCAGTTACATTTTCGGCCACAAGATGATGCCTTTGTCAAGAGTGAACTCCTAAACACATGTGAAATTATACACTTCAACATGAAACAAATGATTTTGAGATTTACATGTAATTTAAAAAAAAGGAACTGGGTAATAAATATTCAGTAAAGAAGGATAAAATGTGTTAATGTGTGAACTGCATGTAAGAAGCATACAGATTTAATGGGTGTGATTTGGTTTTATAGCAGAGAGCAGCAGAGGTGTATCGCTCCAGAGGAAACAGCTGTGAGATTGAGGTCATGCTCTGTATGAAGAGAATGTGTCAGAGAGGAGAACATGTGTAAGATGGAATTCTGGGAGGATGGGGTGTCAGTAGGTCATCGCTCAGACCCAACACTCCCCACAGGAACACAGCATCCTTCTCTTCCTTCACACACAGCTGTGCAGCGGAGGACGTCTCACGGTTGCATCTCTTCTTTTTGCTGTTTGTTTTTCTTTTAACTTTTCTTCCTGACACTCTGTTCCATTCTCCGCTCATGAACAGATATTTCACAGGCAGCAGTGCAGAATTACAGTCAGTCAGTGAGCCTTGAAAGCGGGCCAGATTACACATTTGTTCTCAGCTCATAAAGTGTTAATGAGATTGGGGGGATGGGTCCAGTCCTCAATCACAGGGCTGACCAATAATGTCTGATTCCCATATCAAACAATAACATTCTTCAAATGCCACAGTGCTGACAGGGTTAAAGCGCATAACAGCAGAGGTCAAAGGTTAGTCCCACTTGGGGTTGTTGAGTATATAAACTGAAGGGTTGGATGGGGACTGCGAATAAGAGCTGAAGTGACTGAAAAATCTGATCTGCCAAAAGAATGTCGGCCGATGATTAATGGTGGCGAGGAATATTCCAGAGGTTTATTTAACACTGAGAGAGCTGATATGGTGGTGTTCATCTCCACAGAGAAAGAGACCAACTGAATAACATGGAAGTTATGCAAATTATGTTTAACGTGGCATTTGGCGGAGTTTACATTGAAAAACATCTCTAGCCAACTGTTATGCTTCTTCAGAAACACATAGTACATCTTTTTAAGAAATGCAAGCTTCACTTTGGCTAGGTACACTTCCCATGTTTACATGATTTATTTTGTGCTGTTGGATAAATAAAGCATAAACTCGGAGGATAAGGGCTTAAACACTGACAGGCTTCTGTGTGTTTCACTTTCAAATGTTTACCTCAGATGATCCTACCAATGAAACGTGATTTTCCTATCTGTATTCCAAGTCAAACAAACTGCATAATGGAACTTTTTTGGACAGTTACAATGGTAACACCACAGTTTGGACATATTTATGTGTTTTGTAGCACTAAGTATCAAAGGGTACATGCCTGTTCATACCAAGGCCGAGAACTATAATGATAATTATACAAATTTTAAAAATCATTTTAACTCTATGAAAATAGGGAAGTCCACACAACTACAACGGCGCACAGAGACAGTATCGTTGGAATCACTTTCAAAACATTTTTTTTACAAATAAAAACAATGACAGCCAATCAGAGTTTACCCGACTTTTAAGAGCGCACGCATTTAAAGCGGTAGGCAAAATAACTGCAGCGTGTGCTTAATAAACAGAATATTAAAACTGCTTAATAAAGCAGTTGCAGCTCAGACCAGCTGGTTCATAGTCTATTTCAGGATTTAGAAATGATTTGTTTTGTTTTCAGGTTGACGATTTTCATAAAATGTTGTTGATATAACTACCCTCCTCCACCCACCTCCTCCTGAAGGGTCTTGGCGGTAAGATGTGACTTCTCCAGCTCCAGACCTCCCTCTCTCAGCTGTTTCTGCAGCTCTGCCATTTCCCTCCGGTTCTTCTCCTTGTACATATCTATCTGCTCTTGCAGCTCCTGAGTTGAGCTCTGAGACGCCTCCACTATCTCATACATCTATACAGACAGAAAGAGATATTGAAAAACCAGTAGGACAGAGGAAAAAAAAAAAACTTGCCAATTCTTCAGACATTTATCGGCTTCAGCCCAGGTTTCAGTGACAAATCACGCTAGTTAACCAGCTCAGGTTGTGCTCCTCAGTGAATTCAAAAGCATGCACTGAAAGCAACTTACTAATAAGCTTATTAAGACCTTTACAGGATTAAAAAAAGCACATTATTCTCACCTCCCGTTGCAGTTTCTCCACAGTCCGGTCCAGCAGCCTCCTCTCATCTTCAATCTCATTCTTGGTGTTTTTAAACTGTTCTTTCTGACTCCTCTCATCCTTTAGTCGCTCCTGCAGTTCATGGTGCTCTTGGGTCATTTTGGTCAAGTTTCTCTGGATGGGAAAGTATAATTTAACACCGGTCTATCTGCTCTTGCAGCTCCTGAGTTGAGCTCTGAGACGCCTCCACTATCTCATACATCTATACAGACAGAAAGAGATATTGAAAAACCAGTAGGACAGAGGAAAAAAAAAAAAACTATCGGCTTCAGCCCAGGTTTCAGTGACACAAATCACGCTAGTTAACCAGCTCAGGTTGTGCTCCTCAGTGAATTCAAAAGCATGCACTGAAAGCAACTTACTAATAAGCTTATTAAGACCTTTACAGGATTAAAAAAAGCACATTATTCTGACCTCCCGTTGCAGTTTCTCAATTCTAATTTGTTGAGATAGTGAATTGGTGGGTTTTTGTTAAATGTGAGCCAAAATCATCACAATTAAAAGAACCAAAGACTTAAACTACTTCAGTCTGTGTGCATTGAATTTATTTAATACACAAGTTTCACAATTTGAGTTGAATTACTGAAATAAATGAACTTTTCCACGACATTCTAATTTATTGAGATGCACCTGTAAATGCTGTTCTTTTCATCTTTCTATTAATCTAAGAATACTTAATGTATAGTGGTTTCCTCAAAAATATTAAGCAGCAAAACTGTTTTCAACATTGATAACACTAAGAAATGTTTCTGGAGCAGCAAATTAGCATATTAGAATGATGACACAGAGACCCCAAACACAAAACAAGCAACAAATCAATAATAACTCAACCAAACATGATTTTTTGCTATTTTAGCTACAGCTCAAACTTGAGTTTCCCAGCTCTCACCTGCACATCCTCTAGGCGATTGCCAAGAGCCCGGTTTGCACGGGTCATTTCCTCTTCCTGTTCCCTGACCTCAGCAAGAGACTCCTCCAACTGCCTTTTCTCTTTCTAATCACAAATAAACACATTACAGATGTTTTACATCTCTGTGTCTGCATTTCTAGACACAGATTAAGCCATTCCCCAGAGTTAATGGGGATTCAGGGCTGATGGACCTCAAGACAGGACAATCTTAATCTTCGTCTGGGGAAACTGCCTCATGTTGATGTAATCATTAGAAAGTAATATAAAACGAAGTGGAAGAAAATCTCAGCACATGAGAAGTTCATGTGACATTTGCCTTGGGCTTGTGAGTATAAATGTAAGTGTATTTCTTTTTCACACAATCAAAGAGCGGGCTGAAGGTACCTCCAGACGGACAGCTCGCTCCCCTAGCCTGCTCTCCTGCAGCTTGGCTTCATCAATGATGCGGTTGAGTTTGGCAACCTCATTCTCCAGTTCCTGTGCCCTCTTGCGCATTCTCTCCACCTCCTGAGACAGACGGCCTGCCTGGCCTTCGGATGCCTTCCGTGCCGCCTCCACTTCCTCCTTTTCCTTACTGGCTGTAACATTGTTCTAGAAAGAGAGGACAAAACAGAAAAACACAATGTTACATAAAATTACAGTTATCTTGAAAACCCACATAGCTTCAGGCTCCAAAATGAACACCAAATTCAGGCAAAACTTATGCATCCCAACGAATTGTCAGAGCAACAGACCTATTCTCAAGAAAATGTAATTTAGATTTATTTAGATTCTGGGGTCATTAAAATTTTTGTAAAGTTTTTGAAAGTTTTTATGCTCACCAAGGCTGCATTTATTTGATCAAAAATACAGAAAAACAGTAATATTGTGAAATATAATTACAATTTTAAATAACCTTTTCAATATGAATTGCAAAGCTGAATTTTCAGCAGTCATTACTTCAGTTTCCAGTGTCACATGATGCTTCAGAATACTGATTTGGTGCTCAAGAAACATTTCTTATTATTATCAGCTTGAAATTAAAACATTTGTGCTGGTTCATATTCAGGATCTATTTTTTCTCAATTCTTTGATAATTTGAGTGTTCAAAATAACAGAATATATTGCCCAACTCAATCCGAGCAGCTGAGTCCTTAGCCATCTTCAAGAATCGGCTAAAACACATCTCTTCCATCTTTATTTGACCCTCTAATTCTAGCACTCTCTATTCTAATTCTATTCTTAAAATAAAAAAAAATAAACTTGCCCCTTTTAGACTTGCACTCTATTAACTTACTAACTACTTGTTTTCTTAAAAAAAACTAACAATAACTTCTCTATTCTTTTTATATTCTATTTGTTTTCTTTTTTATTTATTATACAATTAACAAAAAGCAAAAAAGGCCTCTAATACTAGCCTGCTCTATTCTTTTTCTATTCTATCGGTTTTCTTTTTATTCATTATATGATTTAAAAAAAACCTTGCTACGTATACTGCGTTAAGCTAACTGAGACTTGTTATAGCACTTGTATATCATTGCTCTTTTGTTGATTTTGAATGATTTCCATTGTCCTCATTTGTAACTCGCTTGGGATAAAAGTGTCTGCTAAATGACTAATATATTGTAATATTTGAAACAGAAATAGAAAAAAAGAAAACATATCACAAATCATGTTTCAGTCAGAGACAGAGACTGGCCCATCTCGTATAAGATGCAAGCAACACCTGCAATATTTTTTGTACTGTATAGTAGGGCTGTGCGATATTGAAGAAAAATGCGATATGCGATAACTCATTAAATAATGCGATATTCGATACGATAATGCTTAAAGTGCCACATGCTCAGATGAAATAGTTTTACGCGGCTGTTGCCGAGTCAGTTCTGTGAACTTCTATAACTATCTTGTGTCATATATATATATATATATGGTTATTTGTATGTATGTATGTATCTAGAGCTCCTTTAACAAATTCCTTGTGTTTGCGCACACTTAATTGGTGAATAAAGCTCATTCTGATTCTAATAAGAAAGCACCCCTACAACAACATCTGAAAGTGAACGGTATGTGTTTTACTCGAGCATTACATAAAAATGTCATTTTAACATTAGTGTAATCATTTTAACATGAATTTAGGAACTGAATAATAAAAAGGAAAAATAAAACACTGCTTAGAATTTACTCTTTGAATTCAATACGCACCGATTCTTATTTAAGCTACAAAAGTTATTTAGGTAAGAGCAGTGAGGGATTTTCTCTTTGTCTTTTGTTCATGGCCCCAAATATTGCAAGCTGTAGCGATATGCATATTGCGACATGTACATTTGCGATATTTCGATAATTTCGATATATTGCACAGCCCTACTGTATAGGTTTCGTAATATGTAAGAAAAAGCATTAAATAACCCAACTGCCATGGGGCAAATATACTTATTTAACAAAATAAAGCAAAATACAGCTTCGTTAGACAGTTATAAATATTTATATGTTGTCAGTTTACCTATTAGTGAATTTTTGAGTTGTAGAAGCTGGTTTAAAGTTAAAATTTAGACTGTAGTGCTGGAGTTGAAATACTCATCAATGAACTCCTACAACAATGTGTCTAATGGAAACGTGAGTGTGGGACAACAGGCCTCTGACCTTTGACACCCCCTTAAATGATGTGGGCCAATATAAATGCAGTGAATCAGGCCTGAATTGAACGTCCCTGTACGATTTAGCACCGTCCAGTTAGAGTTAGCTAAGCATGTCTCCTTCAGTTTCTCAATGACTCAACCTGACGCATTATACAGTTTCCTGATTCCTTAAGCCTTTTGACGAGTTACGGCTTCAGCAGCCATCTCAGAACGTGAGCAAATTCCTTAATTAGACTGCTCTGTTGGTGGCTGCCTCTTTGTCTGGTTTGGGCTTTCGCTCTGCCAGTATTAGAGCGCTCGTCGTTCTTCTTCACCAAGTTTTATGAATAAGCGAGACTGTCCTGTAGAGCTTCTGTACGTGTAAAATGCATTGTGTCATTCCAAACTCACTCTGCTATGGACAGGGACACCTAAAACAACACCTACAGAACTCCTTGTGAGGTTTTCAGCTAACAAACCGAGACAGCTGTCATGCACCGAAGGACTGTTTATCCTGTTGATGACAGCAAAGATTACACACAACACGGATGGCCCCAGAACCGGACGAGCAGGCAGATCGTTTGCGATGCATGAGGGAATGTTGCCTAACTGGTTTAACCATCCACTGTGAGCAACTGTGGACAAAGACAATACTCGAATTATAGCTAAACAAAAAGCTATTACGGAGCAAAATTTGTGCTGTCTGATAAATGCTAGCTGTAGTCGACATTGTATTTTCTACAAACTTTAAAATTACCAAAAGTAAATGCCTTAGATCAGGATTATAGGTTACAGGTAAGATCGTTTCTGAAATACCTGTGCCCTAATGGAGTGGAACTACAATTGCAAACGCTGTGATCAACGAACATCCGGACGACGACACACAACTTTGCATGTGTGTGTGTGTTAATGTAAAGTCATTCCAAGCCTAACACAGCAGTGACTCATTAGCAGACTGGGGTGGATTTATGTCAGTTCTGCTTTGAGTTCAAAGTCCTGAAGCCCCTCTTTGAATCTCTCTCCCTCTCAGCTGCCCTGACTGCTCAGTAATACCTTACTCATTAACCACAACACCACGTCGAACCGCCTCAAAACAAACCCAAACATCTGTTACGCCACACCACCACCCCTAAACTAGACAACATACTCTACGCTTGCAAAACTACAGAAGATAGCAAAGGTTGACAAAGTTTAGTGAGGAATGACCTTTTAACATTGTAAATATCACTGCTTTGGTCTTCAGAAAAGCTGCGGCATCACATGACGCCGCTTATCATGATGTCTGTGTCCTTCAGAGAAGGTTACCACGGTTTAATTGTTGCAATATCCTTTTCCCTTTACTTGGAGTGAGGCATTTCACTGCTGATAAACTACAGGACACAGGGATGGTGCTGAGAAACTGTTGCACTGGGGAATCTGATGAAACTCTTGTTTGTATTTAAAGAACATTCACACATTCTCTTTCCCTCCGTGCCCCAGTTCCCGCAGTCAGTTCTTTGACAAACAGAAAGGGCCAAGCGGAGCAATGTTTCTGTGCTTTTTTTCTTGACAGAGGCATTACAAAGACTCAGAGAGATTTGAGAAAGCAGTGTGCTCTGAATGGTGCTCTAGTCTGCTTGGGCTGTTTATGTATAGATGGGCATTAACCAGCATTGTGAGAGCATTCAAAAAGCTCAAGTATAACAATGGCAGGAGAATCACAATCAGTTCATGAACTCCTAACAAGGACACGGAGCGTCCTCATGCTTTGCGCTGCTAAATCTTCACAGCACCGTTTATTGCCTAAACCATCAGAGAAACTAATAAACCTGCCTAAAGCCATCCCAAATTCCCCATGATTTTCTCCTTCACATGCATCACAGTTTTTCCAGAGCTAAACCTCTCTAATCCATTCAAAAATTACTCAGGTTTACATGTCAAATTTTTAATCTGAGGGGGTACAACATAATCTTAAAGCCATCCAGAAAGCCATACAAAATTTAATCACAGGTCAACCCTGACTGTCATCGTCACACCATTTACGTATATACTGCTCTGCAGGCAATGTCATTTCTCTTACACTAACAATTCATTTAATTACATATACTGTAATTCTATATATAAAATAGATAAATACATAAATATACATAAAAAATCTTAAAAAAAAACAAAAAAAAAAACAATAATATTTAAAGACCTGCTAACTAAAAAAAAAAAACCAGCTGGCTTTTTTCGTAGATTTAGGAAATGATCACTAAGTTTTTCCCAATAAAACACATAATGACCTTCATTAATACATCACGTATCAAAATTGTTACAACAAACCATAACTGTGTACAATGATTCATTGTCTTGTACCCACACAGATGTACTGATACATAACTTGTGCCTCAGCATGTGTAAGCAGTGATTTCATCCACATTATATTCAGAATGTGCAAAATTACAGGAAATCCTGCTTTCCTCGCATCCAAAATTCAGCTCTGTTTTTACCTCAAATTGTAAGCTACCAGGAGATGCATTAAAATGATCAGATGACAGTAAATACATTTATAATGATAACTATTTTGAATAAATCTTGAATGTGCTGAATGGAATAATTCAGCTTTGCCATTTCAGGAACAAGTTACATATTCAAATGGAAAACAGTTAATTTTAACAATATATAGTTTTGCTGTATTTTATATAGATAAATGCAACCTTGGTGAGCATAAGAGACTTCTTTAAAAAACATTTTTTAAAAATCTTACTGACTCCAAACCTTTGAACCGTTGTGTAAATAAATAAAACAACTCCTTCACCTTGTAACTATGACTCTGGAACAGAAATGAGAAGCAGGTTGGGCAAATAACTTTCCCAGCCACCTCCTTGATAAAAGCCAAATTCAAAACACCCGTTATAAACACTTCAGACATACAGATGGTATCATGAGACTGGGTGTGATTGTAACTTAAAGCGACTCATCACATGTTTTCTATACACAAAGACACATGCCACTACCATAACAGATATAACTGCCATCATGTTCCACTCGCTCCCATCTTTAAAACCACTGCCAAGAAGTTTGGACTCAATCGGAGCCTGGGCTAAATCCTTAGCTTTGTGCTTCTGTGTTTGATCTCATAAAGGCAGTAGCTCAGAGGGTCGGACCCCCTCTGCTGAGCTCATGGTGGGGGGTTTGTAGGGTTCCAGAGCACTACACTTCATGTGGCAGCAGGGGACTTTGGCTCCTCTGCGGGATAGTGAGAACAATGGCAGAGGAATCCAGGCCAGTGCTGGAGTGAGTTCAGCCTGTAGTGAGGACCCTGCCATGGCCTACTTACACGCAAAGTGTGTGTCACGCATGAGGGCCACTGTTTATATGTAGACTATGAACTGTCACAGTAATCTCTTACAATCATTGTCACTGTGCATCAAGACACTGTAAAGTTAGGCTGAAGGGTGAGACGTAGACGCACAATCTCTTTGAAGCTCTTTGCTTTCATATGTCTTTTCTTCAGTTTTTGTTCTTTTTGATGTGTTGCACATCCCTCTGTCCCACTATCTCCTCCTACACTTCCCCTCTTCCCACTCAGGCATCCAGCTGAATCACCACAGAGCAGGCCGGAACAGTTTGCTATCATCACCTGAGGAAACACACCACGTCCTGTGAGACCGTCGGCTCCCCAAACAGCCCCAAGGAGACAGTAAGCGATCTCTATCAGCCACAGCCCACAAAACAAACAAATACAGCACAGCAACGCCGCTGCACTCAAATACACCAAAGGCTACAGATCCTGATACCAGCAACCCATGCAAGATCTGTTTTGGATTTTCAATGGTGCTTGACTAATATGAGTTGTTCATATGAGGGGCTGTAGGGTACACTCTTAAAAATAAAGGTGCTTCACGATGCCATAGAAGAACCTTTTTGTCTAAATGGTTCCATAAAGAATCTTTAACATCTGAAGAACCTTTCTGTTTCACAAAAGGTTCTTTGGGGCGAAAGAAGGTTCTTCAGATTATAAAAAAGGTAAGAAAGAGATGGTTCTTTAAAGAACCTTTGACTGAATCGTTCTTTGTGGAACCAAAAATTGATCTTCTATGGCATCGCTTGAAGAACCTTTTGAAGCACCTTTATTTTTAAGAGTGTAGACCAGAGACAACTGAGACATTTTTTACATTTACCTTCAGAACTTGCACTACACTTTAAAAAAAATTATTCAGCATGGACACATTAAATTGATCAAAAGTGACAGTAAAAAATGTTGTATATAATTTTAAAAGATCTCTACTTTAACTAAATGGTGTTCTTTTGAACTTTCAATTCATCAAATAATCCTGAAAAAAAGATTATCACTGATACAAAACTATTTAGCAGCACAACGGTTTCATTGTTTCAACAATAATAAGAAATGTTTCTTGAGCACCAAAATGATTTTTAAAGGATTATGAGACGCTGAAGGCTGGAGCAATGAATGCTGAAAATTCAGCTTTGCCATCACAGGAATAAACAACATGTTAAAATATATTAGAAATAGAAAATGTTTTAAAAATTATATTAATTTGTTATAATATTTCACAATATTACATTTTTTTACTCTATTTTGATCAAATACAGGTTTGAGGAGCATAAGAGACTTATTTCAAGAAGAAATTATTAACTTACTGTAATATTAACCCACTGTATCTCAAAAGATATGATATCATCAAATTACTTTCATTTTACTTAACAGTTTTTGTTTCTGGTACCAATTCAGCAGTCAGGAATAATATGCATTTAAAGTTGAAAATCAGCAATTGCTAATGAAAAGATTTTATATCTATAATTCATGGGAACTTTTAAATTTAAAAACCTAGAGATATAATACACATTTATTGACAATAAATCAGTTATAAATGATTAATAAACACATTTATCACAATCATTTTGAAAACAAAAACTCTTATCCATTCACAATGCCATTATAGAGTATCAAACTAATATTTATTTAGCCATTTAGCAGATGCTTTTATCCAAAGCGACTTACAAATGAAGACAACAGAAGCAATCGATTGTAGTATTAAAACAACTAAAAACAGATCCAAAACTAAAAGCTAAAACTTTATAAATACTACTTATACACATTTTAAAAATAAAGAAATTAAATAAAAATGACAAATGCATACAACAAAATTTCAAAACTTAACATTTAAATTAAAAACAAAAAATAAAGCTAAAAACAATTCAAAATATTAAAAAACTAAAAGGTATAAGAGTATAATAATGATTCTAACATAACACTAAGTCAAACACCAAAAAAACAACTACATATATATGCATGTACAACCATACACACACACACACACACATATACATACACACACACACATAATATGGCAGAGGTAAAACTTCTGAATTCACCAAGTGGACATTTTGACGTCTCAAAATGGAAATAATAGGCTGATATAACGGTCCATAACTAATCTTAGTCATAATAGAAAGGGTCTGGTTTTTGTAAAATAATCCAGTTATGAATAAGAAAACAGGGAAGGCTATTGGAGCAGGGAGAGAATTCCTTCACAAGGATGCCAAACCGCTGAGAATCAGGAATCTCTTGCTGAGAGGGGGACATTGTGACCCCCCACTTCCCTTTCTGTTCCCCCTCCTGCTATTAGGGCAGAGCAACACCTTTATATTCAGCCATACAAACGGACAGAAAGAAACACAGAGTTATAATGACCACCTACAATTTCTACATTGCTGGTAACAAAAGCCTTGTAGAAATATCCACATAAGGTGTACTTGGAAACCTGAGACCAGCAGTCTAAACTAATGCAAACGTTAGTACAAACTTTTTGTACAGATCCCCCCCCCACCAATGTGTCATCTGTAAGACCCCTTGTCTGCACAGTGACCCACTTATTGGTCATGTGCAATTCCCCCAGCTATTTGCATATGAAACAAACCCATCATTCATTTTCAAAGAAAGAGAGAGAAAGACCAGCTAACCACCCCATCAGAATCTCATTAGATTAGTGACGGCCTGCCACTGCAATCAAGCAGTGCTAAACTCCATTTAGTGCTCACCCTTCAGTGTTCCTCTACATGGGGCCTTCCTATCAACACTAACACCATAAAGAAGAGGCGCACTGTAATACTCGTTGAGCCTGATGGCTTGGTTGCCAGCTAAGATATCCAGAAAGCCAATGTCCATAATCTGTCTCTTTGTCCACTTCTCACATATCCAAGGACAAAACCATCCACTATTCTCCCAGCATCCGTTAGTGCAGCCATTCCGAAAATAAGCACAATGAGATCTGCACCAGGTTTACTGTGGCACCTGACCAAGATTAAGCACTTTGTCTGTTTACTCTTTTAAAATACAGCTTACCTGAGACAACAATGGCCTCCTCTGGACAAGAAGATCCTTTGTTGCAGAAAGGAAGTGAGCTAAGAAGCAGGCTAAAGCAGTTCCAGCCACAAGGACCTATCGGTCCTCAAACTACCTCTTTCACTCCTTCTCTTCCTATTTGTTCTATTCTGTAACTCGCGACGTCTTACTGTATGTCTCTTCAGAATTTGGGGATTTTGTCATCCGTTTTCCCCTCATCTGAACAAAATAAACATGGTCAACTACTGGAAGTTGCTAGGAACTCAATTCGTATGAAAACTGATGACGAGGCTAAAGGTGAAAGTGTTTTTAATACCGTGACAATATTTATGTTGAACTGATTATATCATTTGACAAATAGTACATGTGTGTGTCTTAACATCTATGCTTGCATGCGAAATCTGCATAAAAATACTTCAAACCTCACATTTCCTTTGCTACATGGCTCTTTCAGTGAGGACGGGAAATGATAGGGCGATAGAGAGGGAATAGGATCAGGCAATGTTTACATGGTTTCTAACATCGCACAAACCTCTGCTGTCGCTGATTTATTTGCGAGGTGTTTTGGTTAAAAACGTAAAAAGGCAGATATAATTGACCTGTTTTGCTTCGTCCACAGCCGTTTGCAGCTTACGGATCTCCTTTTCATACTGCTCCCTAAGTTTATCCACCTCCTGATCATGAGTTGCCACCTCTTCTTTCAGGGCTCCTTTGAGAGCGGTCAGCTCCCTCTCACGCCTCCTCAACAGCTCCTCCTGCTCCTCTTTGGCTAGAAGCAGCTCCTGGAGGTCTAGCTTCAGTTGTATGAAGTCCTAGCGAAGACAGTACAATGTTAGAGGTTCTGCCATCAGTTTCAAGTCTTAATTATTTTGAATATGCAAAGCTGGATCTGTTATGCTACGGATTACTGAAGAGTAAAATTTGAATGGGAAATATACGGCTTTCCATGATATTTTATGTGCCTTAGTTACACTATTGTTCAAAAAAGATTGGGATCAGTATGCTTTCCAGTGGTGCATTTATTAAATACAGAAAAAACAGCAATATTATAAAATAGTAGTACAATTTAAAATACTGGTTTTCTATTTAAATATATTTGATTTTCCGCAGTCATCACTCCAGTCTGTCAAATGATCCTTCAGAAATCATTAGAATTTCAAGAAACATTTCTTATTATTATCAATGTTCAAAACAGTTACGCTGCTTAATATTTTTGTGTAAACTGTAATACATTTTTAAAGATTCTCTGATGAATAGAAAATTCAAAAGAACAGCAATTATTTTAACTATAAATCTTTTGTAATATTATAAATGTCTTTGTCACTTTTGTTTAATTTAATATCTGCTTGCTGATTAAAAGTATTAATGCTGTACCTCCATCATGGCCTCTTTGTCTGTGCTGTCTGTTTGAGATTGCTTGGCTCCATCCAGCTCATCGTGCATCTCTGATAGCTGGTCCTGAAGGTCTCGAATCTCAGTCTGGTACTGCTCTTTCTCCATTTTCACCTGGTAGAGTCTGATATAAACACACACACAAATACACTCAGAATACCTGCATTCTGAACTGAAACAAGAGCCAACGCAGACAGGCCTGGTATTCTGCTGAGCTCATGCCCATATAAACCCCTGTCAATTCCAACCATGGAGTCACAGAGGATAATTTACACTTTATTTTGACAACCTTAGAGTCGGGATGGAGAAATCCCAGAAACTTGCATATCTGAGGCTAGTGTAGATTTTCACAGCGTAAGAAGGATTAACACCAATTTCTGCTTTGAATTTGGGGTCAAATTCTGCAGAATGGATTTAAATATAATCAAATGTGCAGGCTAGAAGTTTAACATATGTGACCCATCTGAAAGCTGAATAAATAAGCTTTCCACTGATGTATGGTTTGTTAGGATAGGACAATATTTGGTCTAGATAAAACTATTTGAATATCTGGAATCTGAGGGTGCAAAAAAAAAAAATCTAAATATTGAAAAAATCGCCTTTAAAGGTGACATATCATGAAAATCTGACTTTTCCAGGTTTTAAGTGCTATAATCAGGTCCCCGGTGCATCTACCAACCAAGGAAACGTGAAAAAGATTAACCCAGTAACTTTGTTTTGGTAAGCCTTTTTCTGCAAGCGTCTGAGAAAACGAGCGTGTCAGATTTCGCTCCCTTGGTGATGTGGCAAAGGGATCTCATTATAATATTACCACCCCTTAATCTGTAAACTTCCACTCAAGGCACCATAATTTTGATTTTGCAAGCGACAACGGTGTTCCTGCTCTAATGCCATTGCGAAAGTATGAGCAAAACATGCTAACTGTTCTGTCTTTGGCTGCACAGACGAGCACAGAACACTATTTACAGTCCCAGCCTCAGAGGAGACAAGAAAGCAGTGGATTTATTGATTTATTTAGGCTACTGTATATTGCTGCTGCCACACAGATCTAAAATAAACAAGCGATTTATTTCCCAGCTGTTTACCTTCACAGAAATAACGACTGTTTTTGGAACTCGTATGTTTTTAATGTAAACTTGTGTGTGAATGAGAACTTAGTTTAGTACTCACATGCGGTGACAGCCGCTTTCTGTCCGTGTGCTTCAGATGTGTGCGCTCAGAAAACCGTATATCAGAAGTTTAAACTCATATGGTTTAAAACGCATGATTTCAGTGCGATAAACATGATAATCAAAAACAAAACAGATGTTTTTAGCAGATAAGAGCAGTAAAGGCGCAGCTCTATTCTGGAATAGGGGGCGGGGAGCAGCAGCTCATTTGCATGTAAAGACAGGTCCGAAAAACAGCCTGTTTCTGCTTCCACTCAAAATAGGCATTTTCAAAATTATATAATAAATGATCTGTGGCGTATTTTGAGCTGAAACTT